GTGCCCGGTCGCACCGGTAGAGCTTTGCATCTCGGGGGAGTCGGTTGTGTAGTTTGGCATCCTGCCCTGCGTGGTAGCATGAGCTGATACGGGCACGCTTCACCAAACAACCAAATGCAGTTCTGATTGGAAGGGCTGTTCAGGCCAGGCCCCTAAGCATGTTTTCATGTGAGGGTCTATATGTGAAACGCAATAAAACACTTGAATGGGGCCGGGGGGCGGGGGGGAGCACAGCCAGAGAGAAAAGAGGCAATTTATGTGTTAGCTGGCTTTTGAAATGAGGTGGAGTACCAGTTAGACAAAACGTTGTTTCTGCCTTGCAACTGTGACGGAGAAAGGTCCTTGAACCAACAGCATAAAAGGGCAAAGCAATGATAGACATAGTATAAGCATTGTCAAAAACTGAATGAGGAGGGTGAAAGAGAAGTGTAAGTTCGCTAGCTCAAGAAACATACTAAAAGATGAAGGTATTTTTAAACTGGCACCTGAAATGAATGGGGGAGCCAGAGGGAAAAATGGAAGTACGATGTAGATGTATATAGCATAGGTTTCCGGTCACTTGCACTGGCTTGCTCATGATCCAGGGTAACACGTATTTCATTGCAAACTCTACCTACCTCAAAAGACCTCCTGGCAGCTCTTTCATCTCACCAGTATCTCGGACAGACTCCCGAGTATGTGATACCAATGGAATTTTGTAAAATCCTTCAGGTGGCTGCAGAGGGCCCTCCTGCAGGTGGCAGATGAAAGGTCTGGCTGTTTCAGCAACGGGGAAGAAAATAGAGCAAAGTCTGCCACCAAACATGCTTTTATGTGCAATCATTCAAATCTATCCACATTTGACTAAATCACTCTGAACCTTGCTGTTGATCCTTTTATTTTGGACTGAGGAGGCTGAGTTTGTAGGGAACATTTTTGAACTAAACTGAAATAGAAATAAATTACATAAAATTCATGCTCTGACTAACCAGCACAAATCTCTTCCTAGGCTGTGAAAGGCCAAGTTACCAAACTCACGGTAGTTTTGCTGGGCAGTTTTGGATCGGCTGTGTGCTTTCATCAGTCGTAGTTTAAGGTGCAGGCATTACAGTCCATTCCTCATGCTTCGAGCAAATGCTTTCAGAACGAGGAAACCTGAAACAACCTGCGACTGGTCCATAAACCACTTGGGCAGTCTACAAGGCTGTTGACTAGAGGTTTCTGAGAAAAATCTGGTTAATTGACAGATGTGGTTGCCTGAGAAACATTCATGTTCTCTTTTGCTTGGATATAGTATCCTCTCATTGCACCCCCTTTTTTTTTTAACATTTATTTAGTGTGGCTTTACCTCAAAAGAAGGCTTGATGCTTGGAAATGGAAAAGTCTTGCTTTTTAATGGGCCTCATAAATGTAGCCAGAGCACCCTCTGGGTTTTAAAATTAAGAACATGAAGAAAGTCACTCTGTCACTGTCTCCATAGTGAAAAATGGGAACAGTAACTCTTGCCTTATGTGTAACATGGAGAGTTTTTCAAGCATTGTCTGTAAAGAACATAATGGAGTTAACGCTTGTGCTGCTGTCTAAATCAGGAAGAAGCTGAGGTAAGGCAGAATACCCAGGCTGCAAAGTTAACTTTTCATCGCAGAGAGAGTATTTTGCATCAGCTCCTCTGAGGAAAGAGGTGTTCTGAAGCCACTGTGGGTGAAAATGGTCAATTAACTGCTCCCCTGCTGGATTCTGTCACATTGTATGCAGAAATGCTGGATTCTCAAGCAATAGCAAATTAGTTGTGCCCCTGTTGGCTCCTGGCTTGTCATGACTTCATTAGTGGCAGAGTTTGTTTAAAGGGCAGCTCTGGTGGTCTGCCTTGCTTCAGGTATGTGAGGTAACGCTCAAGTTCAGCCAGAGGGTAGCCACACTAACATTTACCCCTTCCACGCACACACCAGGAACAGCCCTGCTTGTGTATTAACTTTTCTCCTTCCCCACATTGTGTGCTTGTGTGGAGACAGAAGGGTTGTTCTGTCTGTCCAAGGCTGTTGGTGCCTGTTGATGGCAGATACCCCCGTCTTCACCATCTAGTATGTGTCTTACACTGGCTGCACATTCCTCATCCAGAATGCTAGCCGAGCAGTGTTCAGAGCTCTCAAATTCTGTTGTCTTGGATGGGATTTGAGAGACTCTTGCAGCTTTGGTTGGAAAAAAGGGGTGTAATTGAAGAATATATAGCACAGTAGATGAATTCTTAAGGAGACAATTTTGGAATAAAACAAAACAATGAAAATACCTTTATTAGTCTAGCAGAATGTAAATGCCACTTCTCTCATGCAACCACTGCAGTTTTGACACTGTTATCAATGCGTGTAAAAAGTTGTCCCCATTGCACGCTAAACGTTTAGAGAATTTTAAAAAATACTTACTTTCTACCACTGATGATGTTTATTTATTGCCAAGCATTCAACATAAGGCTATGAGTAGTAGCACTGCCTTGCTTAACATGTTTATGTTTGGGTCCTATCATGTTTTCTATTACAAATCTAGTTAGTTTAGATGCTGAAAAGGGAGTGTCAGATATCTTTTGGCTTATTATCTGTTTTTCTTAGTTTAATTTTCTCATTTTCATGAATTAATATATTGCCTCAAGCCTTGTGGGGAGGGGGGAGTGTTGCAGCTCAAATGAAAGCATTTACATATAGAATTATATTCTAAAGGCAATAAACATTTCTACCAGAGATTTTAAAATATATGGGTTTGTTTAGAAATCATGTTCCTTGGGCCTTTAGCAATGTCTTTACTAAAAAATAAACAGAAGAAAAGATCCTGTCTCTCTGTTACTATTCCTTATAGTAAAAGAAATGGAAGAGCAAAATGATGGTATAGCTTGTGAGCAGAATAACTGATTTCCAATTTTTCTTGGCTGTCAGTATTTCTTTGATGCTGAGTACTTTAGCAGTATATTTGGTGAGTCTTCTTGGCTCAGCCAGCCAGCAGCCCAGTCCTCCGGCATTCCTGTAAATCCCAGTGGTGTGAGAGAAATTGAAGTTCTTTAACATTAATTGACAGTAGTGTTGTTGGTTTAGATAAATATGTCTAAATTTTTCCAAGCTGCTTAGTTTGGGACACAAAATGATATCTAATTGTCTGTACAATTACGTGCAGAAGCTGAGAATCCTGTAGCCCAGAAGTCAATATGTAGCTGGTCTGTGTGAGTCATAATGGCTGAAATTGTTAAAGCCAATGGCTGAATTTGACTTCGTACCAAAATGGTAGTGCAGCCATTAGGGTAGGATAGGCAGAATGGATTCTGTATGTGGGATTCTTTTGTTTGTTTTATAACACTGGAAGGCTCAGTATACCAGCAACAGACTACGTATAAATTTAATGTAAGAGACTGAGAAAAGAGAGATGATACGGTGAACAGAATGCATTGGTGTTCTAACATCTTTTATACTTGGTGATGTTCTTCCATGAGGTTTAGGGGGAAAGCAAGCAGAGTACAAACACCAAAATCTTACTTGTTTTCTTTCTAAAGC